TTTTTCTTCGCAGAACTGGGGATTGAACTCAGGCCTTTGTGCTTGCCAGGGAAGCGCTTATTCCACTGAGCCATCTCCATCTCCCTGGCCTCTGTTGTCTTTTTGAGACAGGGTCTTGCTATGCAGTTCAGGCTGGCCTTGAGCTCACCTTGTAGCCCAGGCTGGTCTGGAACTCACAGCAATCCTCCCACCTCAGCCTTCAGAGTGCTGGGATTACAGGTGTGTGCCACCATGCTTGGCTTATGTTGGTATCCTAAATAGTTCTGATACTTTCCTCTCAGTAGAGAAAAAACTATAATGTTTTGTGATATGTGGCAAGTTGAATGGCCCTCAGCTGATGGAACATATAACCAACACTCTGTCCAACTAGCATTCAGTGGAGCACACAGTGATTTCTAGCATGAAACAGTATCTCATGAGTCTTGAGCAGAGACTAACATAGAAAAGTGTAAGTCTGGAAGGCTGCCCCTTTGAGTTTAGGAGGTAAAGTCATGCTCTAAGCCAGCCATCAGGGAGTGGCAAAAATAAGACACGCTCCACAAGCAAGGAAGACACAAACAGTGAGGAAGCACAAGGGTCAGCTCTGATTAAGGAAGAATGAAGATAGCTAGTACTCCCAGAAACTTCAGTTACCTGAGTCAAGATAAGGAATAAAACAAGACGGCATAAATAGAAGTCTCTTACTAGATTTATGATTTGGGTTTTAAAAAATCCATTCAATGTCAAATCTATTGCTCACATTAACAGATATAGGTAGGAAATATTGGACATATGATTGAATGTTGCCACTTGCTTTCAAGAAATCTTAATTTTTTTTCTCTTGATAAAAATAGATAATATATCAACCAGTGTTTGTTTTTTTTAAATGAATTTTAAGACAGGGTGTGCAGGGTCTCACTACGTAGATCAGACTTGTAGTGATCCTCTTGTTTTCAGCCCCCAAGCACTGGGGTTATAGGCACGCACCACCATGCCCAGTCTCAATTACATCTCAGCACGTCCTGGGGGTGGGACTGGCACAGCATGCGGGGATTGAACCCCAGCTGCTGCACTCTGACAAAGCAGGCACTTTAGTCCACTGAGCTATCTGGACAGTCTAACCATTGTTAATCTGCTATTCTTGTTTTGAAAATCTGTAACATATGTATTGCATGTTACCCTATTTCTGTCCTTGTTTCTGCTTTTTGTTCTTGCTTTTGTTTTTACTCTTCAAAATAAAATAAAATTATAATTTAAAAAATCCATTCAAAAGAAACAACTTACATGACTGATGTTTTTCAAGAGTGAAAACTTTGCTCACCTTCACTCTAGGTCTATCTCTATTTACATCTAGAGCTATAGGGAAATAGTTTAAAAGATTTTAGCAATTTTCTTTTTAGTTAACCTGATAAGGTAAGAAGTATACCAAATACACTTTAAGGTGTTAAGATTTTACATAATGAAATATATTAATATTTCACTCAAATTAAGATAGATTTGCTAGAGTATTAACCTTAATCTAGGTGGAAAATAAAGGCAAATGATAGCTAAGATTCAAATGATAGCTACATTCATTAGGAGCTACCTCACCTTAGGCCCTACGCTAAGAAGAACCCAGTGAGGGAGGTACTACTGGTCCTCTGCCACAGAAAGAAAACTGAGAAGGATGTAAGTGATTAACCCAAGGTCAAATAGCAGAGATGGAAGCTCAGGCTGGCTTCCTTCAGCCTTTAGCTGCTACAGTATCTTGGAGGAAGTCTGTTAGGTAGACAGCTGACTGAAATCTCTTAGAATCCCAGCATCTGAAGACAGACAAAGGAAAAGGAGGCGGGGTGGGGTGCAAAAAGGAATGAAAGAAGTCACCCTCTGGTGCTATTACATTTCTTATTCTTGAATACACAGACTGTGTGAGACCGAGAGTAGCCAGGCTTGGCGGCCAGTCTAGTAATTCTATGCATGCTCCCACTCTCTTTGTGTCTCCATGTTTTATGCTGTGGTACAGTACAAGAAACAGAGACTAGGGAAGCATTCCTCCACGTGGAAGCAACAGTGACGTGGCCCACCAGCAGGTCACCTCACAGAGAAGCAAGTCTCAGTGCCGGGGTTTGGACTGTGTCAGCTCTTTCTGGAGCCTCCTCAGCCAGAGTTAACCTACGATTGCCAGGGCTCATGTTATTTAAAAGGGGCTTTGTTAATTATTCGTTGTTAACCAAATGTATTAATATTCTAGTATAGTTATTCCCATGACTCTATGGGAGACTAGTTCCAGGGCTCTCACATACACCAAGATCCAAAGATATTCCAGTCTCTTTCATAACATAGCATAGTGTTTGCATGCAACCTATGCACATCCTAGTGTCTATTTTAAATAATTGCTAGGTCATTTACAATAACTAATGCAATGTAAAAGCTGTGTAAAGAGATCTAGTCACACAGAGCATTTTGTTTAGGGAATAATAACAAGGGAAAAAACTCTGTTCAGGTTCAGAAATTTTAAAAACATTTTCTATCTGAATTTGGTTGAATCTACTAGGAATTATATTATTAAAATCATCCACAACCTCTCCAAATGTGAGAAAGAACCGAAGTATTACTCTAGCACGAGAAAAGTGAGGCAACATGGAAGCCCATGAAATGAACATCATGTTCATATGCAAAAAACATGTCCTTTTAAGCTGTCATTGAAGAAGGTTCTATACAGTATCATAAGAGAAATATTTAAGGAAGCAATTCTAACAGACCAACCAATCAAAGCAAAGCAGAACATAGCAAATTCTCAGAGCTTGTTTAGAAATAAGCAGAGTGGAAGAAGGGACCCAGATGCCTTTTTCCTGACCTGCCGGGTGCGCAGCGCCTCCTGAATGTCTCCATCTAGCTCGGCGAGCTCAGCAAGCGTGTGCGCCAAGTCAGCAGAAATCAGCTCCTTGGCTTTTGTGAATTTCTCCTTCTCCTTGTCACTCAGGGCGCTCATGATCCGCAGGCTGGACTGGACCTCCTCCTGATGGATCTGAATCTTGCGGATTTCCTCCTGGATGTCCTGGAGGCTGAGGTCCAGGCATAAGGGCCTGCTGAGCTCTGCCTTCACCCTCCGCAACCAGTCCAGGGAGTGGCTCATCTCAGTCTGGAAGTCTCTGCTCTGCACCATTCGGCCCTCACACTCTGCCACCGTTTCCCCAATGCTAGATGTCAACAGCCCCAGCTCCTCTTGCCAAGCCTGCACCCGATGCTTGGCTTTCTCATAAGCTGCAGGATCCAGGAGCAGAGCAAGGTCCTCCACATGCAGGGCCACTCGCTTCAGCAGAATTCCCGAGTCCTGCAGGCTCCCAGCTAAGGAATGATACATTTTGAGCTTCTCCTCTGCGGGCAGTGTCTCCTCATTCACTTTGGACTGCTCTGTTTTCACAGCTTCTAGTTGTCTCTCTAGCTGTTTGCACATCTTTGTGTGCTCCTTGTAAGCACTTGTGGTGTCTTCTAACAAGCCCACCCTTTGTTCTGCTTGTCGCTTCAGCCTGTGATACAAGGTGACAAGGTGTAGCATCTTGTCTGGCTGCCAAGGTTGACCTGTACTGCGAAAACTTTCCTTCTTCTGATTCAGCTCATCCACCGCATCACCAAGGGCCACCACCTCGCCCAGAAGGGCCCTGCAGTCCTCCTGAAGGGACAGAGCCTCATCTACCACCAGGTCTGTGGGCACCTTCCTCATCTTCAGAAACTGATCTTCCAGTTCACTCAGAGCCTGGGCTGTCAACTCAATCAAGGAAGCATACTCTTTCCGAGCAAGAATTGTTTCTTGAACTTTATAGAACTTGTCTTTAGCCAAGGCGACAATGACATTAAATTGTTGCGGCAGAGCATTTAGCTTTTCACTGAGGTAGGAATGATCAACTTCATTCAGGGATGGTAACATGGCCTGCCCCGTTCTCTGGAGTGTAAGCAGCAGATTTTCATACTCTGGAGATTGTTCCAGAATGTGCTGGTATTTGTCCAGTTGTGCATGAAGCTCAGTACTTTCATTCATGAGGTTGATTTCAGGAAATGTAACAATATCTGCTTGTTTGAGCCAGTGACAAGCCTTATCAAAATCTTCCTTAAAATGTTTTCGAGAAACTAGATTCTTCTCAAGTTCTTGTAACCGATGACCACACTTTTGTAAAACAGTGTCGTAAACACTCTGCAATTCCTGAAGCTTCCCCAGCACTTCCCCCTTTTCCTGCTCTGTGACTCCTTTCATTAATTCTCGGCCCTGAGCCCAAAGTCCAGTGACTTCGTTTTGGTAAGTCCTGAGGCTGGCTTGAGCGCTCTTGCACGTTTTAACCTGCTTGCTCAGGTCGTCTGGCAGCAGGCAGATGTGTTCCCGGAACATGATCTTGCGCTCGTGTTGTTGAATCTGGCTGGCTGCTTGGAATACTGCCATGAGAAACTGGGTCTTCTCGGACAGGGCTTTGTTTAAGTACTTTCTTCTTTGGCCCACTAAGTCACTAAGGCAGTTCACGTGCTTCTGTGCATCAGCGAGCACCTTCTGGATCACCCTTCGCTCATTGAGGCCGAGATCCGCCATCACCCTGTCGGCATCCTTTATGAGTGACCTCAGAAGCAGCTGTTTGGCTTCCAGCTCGCTGCAGATGGCCAGGTGATCCATCAGGAGGCTCTGCACCATATCAGGCGGAGGGCTCTGCTGCAGAGCCTCGGTGAGGCTGGGCTGCTGCTCCTCTGCCCACTCCATTAGCTCCTGAAACCTGGACTGCACTGCACCGAGCTCCTCTAAGTTAGTGATGGACACTTGGATTTTCCTTTTCACAAGGACTTCAAGCTGAAGCCAGCGTTGTTCAAAGTGACTTGTCTGTTCTTTGACCAATTCTTTGTCATCTAGGTTCAGATGTTCGATCATTTTTTGCTTCTGATCTTTCAGATCTTCAATGGCATGCTTTCTCTCCTGCAAGGCCAAGGCTAACTTTTTCAAAGCTTCCAAGTGGACAGCTGTGCTCTCTGCATCGGATCTGTAAAATATTGAAATGCACGAGAGAAAATTAGCTTATATCATTTCATCATGTAAGTGGGTGTTCTTAGCCTAGTACCTGATGCCCAGAATGAAGTAAGCAACTGTTTAGCATGAGGAAGGAAAGGTTTATTTAGCTCAGTTTGTGAAGGTTCCAGTCTATAATCAGCAGGCTCCAAGATAGGACGGCGTGGTGAGGGGCCACAGCTCAGGGCGGCCGAAGACAGCGAAAGCAACAGGAGTAAAATGGGGAGAGCAGGCCTCCTTTCCTCCCTCATGGTGCATGTGGGCTTCCTGTCCTCGGGGAACACAGCCCTCACACCATCTCCATGTCCTCCTCTGGAACAGGCTTGGGATGTTGACAATGTGAGGATCCTGGCCCCTGCTGAGTCAGTTAGGATTCTAAACTTCTTAAGTTGACACAGTGTAACAACTGTCACAGTAAGCCTCACTGACCTATTTCTGTATCTGGAAGTGAAATAAATCACTCTGCATAGAACCTGCATCCTGACAAGATCATTTGATGACCTGTGTAATATTAAACATTGAGAAATAGTAATCTACTGCTGTTTTGAAAATGGCATTTAAAAGGCCCAGAGAGATAGCTCAGTGGACTAAGTGCCTGCTTAGGCAAGCACAGGCACTGGGGTTCGATTCCTGGTACTGCATGTCACATGGGCACCGGCACTGGGGTTCGATTCCTGGTACTGCATGTCGCATGGGCGCCACCCAAAGGTGTGCTGAACAGGCCACCAAATCCCTACGCGTTGAAGCTGTATAATGAGACCCTGCATCAAATACATAAAAGCTTTATTTTTATTTATTTACTTATTTTATTTTAGGGAAGGGTCTACAGTGTTCAGGGTCTCACTACTACATTGGGCTCCTGGTGATCCACCTATTTACAGTCCCCCAAGAGCTGGGATTACAGTCATGCGCCACCACACCCAGTTTCAACTGCCCTCTCAGCATGCCCCAGGGGCAGGGCCAGCACGGCAGGCCCCGGGATCAAACCCCCAGCCTCTGTACCAGCTTGCAGGTGCTTTAATCTGCTGAGCTATTTGACCAGCCCTACGTAATCTCTTTTTTTGAAGATTTACTTTTTTAATTTTTTAAAGGAATAAAAAGATAATGAAAAAATTAGAAATGATAGAGAATTTCACTAATCAAAATGATAGGAATCAACAATGGTTGTTACATTGCTTATTCTCTTCAAATAAGATTACCAGATATAAGCATGCAAAATTG